TATGGGTGGTGTGTAGGTCTCTTGGTCCTGCCTCTCACTAGGGAAGCGAGTTTTGAACAATCAACCTCATCCATGCAATCTTCTATCGAACCTACTGAGCTACTGTGGAAACTGAAACGCTTTGTACGCAATATCGGACGAAGGCAAATGAACAATCATCCTCAAGTATGCAAGCCCGCAAAGAACCACTACAACCGAGAGCATCAGGCAAACATCCCACAGCCCAAACCCAACATACAACAACCATGGACTTGCCCCTGGGTGGTGCGCAAGCAGTGTCTGTAATAGCTTACCTGCATCAGCCCAGGGGAGTGTGTCCAGCCGTGCGTCATTACAATGCCCTGCCGGTGTCCATGCGCAAAGCTGCGAAGTTTTGAGCCCACAACCTCATACCACAATGCGTATTTCCAACCCGTGCCCTAACCAAGCTACATCAACTGGGCACGGGTTCATGATTCATTCAAAATGTTGGACTCCTGCATCAAGTTCGCCTGGTTCAGCAGGCGTCCAAATGCATGTAGAATGTTGTGTGTAGTGGAGTGGGGCCTCAGTCCACTACGCAACCCTGTAAATGCATTTGGACACCATCTCCTCGACGTCTTCTGCCGACTCGCCGTCAGATACTCGTTTCAGCTCGGCGAAAAAAACTTCATCTGCACCGCGATTCGCTCCCAGCACTATGCAATCTCCTTTTGTTTTTTTTGTCTTTTTTTTTCTTTTTCTCAGTTGGTGAGTGGTTGCCGCAAGGGGTAGGAATCTATGCCCACTACCTCCTGCCTCGCTGGCAGGTCGGGAGGAAAAGAAAACAGAAAAGAGGAAGGAAACTGGATGCCTCTTTGTTCTGTTGCTCCTAAGAGATTCCGCCTGTCACGGTACGGGTCTCGTTAGACACTCCTTACGAGTCCTGAATAATGAAAGACTAGTCCTTAGAAAAATTTAGGATTTTCAGCGTCCTACTTAGACTCGTCCTGAAAAAAACGGTCTTTACGACTGCGTGTTGTCCGAGCGGAGTGTGCGTGGATTGTCCAGTCCGTGGTGTGGTGTGTGTGTGTGGTGTGAGTCCAAGGACGCTATCGTGGATTGTCGAGTCCGTGGTGTGGTGTGTGTGTGTGGTGTGAGTTCAAGGACGCTATCGTGGATTGTCGAGTCCGTGGTGTGGTGTGTGTGTGTGTGGTGTGAGTTCAAGGACGCGACAGCCCTGGAGGTGGGCCGGATATCACTATCGGTATGGATCCAGTTTTTATAACACCTCCAAGGGTTGTAGTGGTTACGATACTTCGTTCCTGTGCAGGAGGGTGCCAGTTCGAGGCTGTCTGTGTACGGCAGGGCATGAGGCCCTAAACACACGTTGCTCAGTAATCACTATTCCTTAGAAAGATGTCGTTGACAACTCTACCCCATATGCACCTACTGTGGCAAGGCTTCCCCCCCGGCCTGTGCGGTCCCGGAGCACTGCCTCTTGGCATGCCCGATGGTCGCCCAAATCTGGCAGTGGTGGGATGCCTCCTGTCACTCCCTAACAACACACCACATCCCATGGGACCTTGGTCTCTTGCTCCTGGGGAAGAACCTCCACCACCTGGCCCAATGGTCCCCCTATGCGGTCAACCTGTTTTCATATACAAGGCTCCATGTCCTGGTGCTGCCCTGGCGAACAAGGTGCTCGTTTGAACGGAAAGACCACCAATTTGGCTTTCAGCAGGCCCTGCAGGTGTTGGAGGAGGTCATCAGATCCCACACCCACGAAACCTGGAAAACCATGAAACAAGCTCATAGGGGGGAAAGGGAACCGCAGGCCAAAACTGCCATCATCGACTCCTACAGCCAAACATGGCAAGACCCCCGCAGGCTGTCCAGCGTATTGGATGCAGAACTGAACATCCTGTGGAAGCCCTGGAGGTCCTCAGAACAGACCTGGATGAGAAGACCCATGAACAACTTCCACATCCCGTACCTCCAAACTGACTTCATCCTGCTCCGATGAGCCACTCCATCGCGCCCCCCTTCTTCTTCTTCTTCTTCTTCTTCTTCTTCTTCTTCTTCCTCCTTCTTCTTCCTCCTCCTTCTTCCTCCTCCTTTCTCCTCCTCCTCCTTTCTCCTCCTCCTCCTCCTCCTCCTCCTCCTCCTCCTCCTCCTCCTTCTTCTTCTTCTTCTTCTTCTTCTTCTTCTTCATCTTCTTCGTCTTACGTCTGCTCGTCTTCTCCTCCCTCTTCTTCTTCTCCCACTCATTGTCTTCTTCTCTTCTTCTACTCCTAGCCTGCTTCGCTTCTACTCTTCTTCTTCTTCTTAGACTTCTTTCACCCTTCTTCTGTTACCCCCCTCCTCTTCTTCGTCTCCCTCCTCCTCTCCTCGTCTACTTCCTCCTCTCCTCTCCTCATCTACTTTCTCCTTTCCTTGTTGTTATCTTCTTCCACTCGTGCTTTTTTACTCCCTCGTCCTCCTCCTCCCCTCCTCTTCTTCTCGTCCTCCGTTAGCCACAGCCATCGTTTTTTAATTTTTCTTTCTACCTCCTCCTCCTCTTCCTCCTCCTCCTCTGTTAGCCATAGGACCGTAGGGCCTGGCATCAATTTTTTTTTGCAGAATCCCTTCCCCCGCCCCCCCTTCCGGCACACCCCTAAAAACAAATTCCAACCTTCAAAGTTTTATTGCGGAATCCGACAGATCTTGGAAAGCGCAGTCGGATCCTGTGAAAAAAAAAAAAAAAAAAAAAAAATTGGGCAATTTTTTGGGCCATCCGGTTTCCCGGTTGACCCCCCGTGGGCAGGTCCGGGCCCGGTTGGACAGGGCCAGCTCAACCGGCCGGTTGCCAGCCCAGCCCTGATGTATAGTCTTTTTTTTTTTTTTTTTTTTTTTTGCTCCAATCTTTTCGTGGGGAGCAGCACATGCTGGGAACCCGGCCCGACGTCCCTTATATTGGAAATACATTCATGATTGATGATCATTGATGATCATTGATGATAATTTGGGATGATTGAGGATCATTTAGGATGATTCAGGATGATGCAGTGGATGATTGAGGTCGTGATATAGAGATAGATGATGATAGATGATAACTAATCAGAATGATTGTCTACTCAGCACTCAGATACTATCCTATCCCTAATTTGCTGTATCCGTTCCAACCAACCAATCACAACTAAGCCTGTGCTGTGCACCAATCAGGCCTCTTCCTGGTCTCACGCCCCAATCTGGCTCGGTTACAGGGCAGCGCTACCCACCCCAGCTCCAACCATCGTTGACCAGATTGTAGCCATTAGTCAAGTTTGCAGATCGCCTTCCTCCCTCGGCAATCCCAGACCTCTATACCTGTCTCTTATACACATCTAGATGTGTATAAGAGACAGGTGCACCAATCAGGCCTCTTCCTGGTCTCACGCCCCAATCTGGCTCGGTTACAGGGCAGCGCTACCCACCCCAGCTCCAACCATCGTTGACCAGATTGTAGCCATTAGTCAAGTTTGCAGATCGCCTTCCTCCCTCGGCAATCCCAGACCTCTATACAAAGCCTCAAGCTCCTACTCAAGCAGGTTACAGGGCAGCGCCCCAGCGCCGGCCAGCGTCGTTCTGGCGCCAACTCAACATGGCCATTACACAAAAAGGCTCAATTAGGAAATTAGCTAAGCTAGAATGGCAACTAGAAATCTTTGTTTGTTTTTTTTTTTTGAAACTTCCCCCCGCCAGTGATAGTGTTGCTGGTACGAGCAGACATCACTACCACCCGGGGAGAGACTCCATCTATTGGTGGGGAGCTTCACCTGCTGGAAACCGGGTCCAGCATCCCATAAATGTTGCACAGTAATTCAGTATCATAAGGTGACACCCTGCCAACATTGATTACCCTGGGACCCAGGGGATTGACTGAGCAGGAGGCACAGAAAAAAAAAGGGGGGGGGAGCCTCTTCACCTCAAATCCGGCGCCGAGTATCTACTGCTATACACTAGCTCCCCCCTTCCCTTACCCTCCCCTAGCTGCACTTCGTAAAAAGCTCTTTTTTGAGAAAACCAACAGGCTGGGTCGCAGAACTCAAGAATTCCTTTTTACTCTCCCCCATACCAGGAAAGCTCGACCAGGCTATTTGCTGGGGGGGGAAAGAAATCTGGGAAATCACTACTTGGCCTCATCGGGATTGAGGCATCCAGGCTGGTCCAGTTGTTGAAGAGGAGTTTGTAATCCCTGTTGATTGTCAGGTCGCCCTCGTTCTCCTTTTGTCCCCCATTTCCCCCAGTCCATTCCACTTTCCCAATCCTCCCTCCAGTTTCCCCCCCGAGCCAGCTTTTGCAGAAATCTTGTATCCTCTGTTTTATTTCATCTGCAGTATGAATGTGTTGGATCTGTGACTTGGTTACCTCCCACCTTGCTCTTATGGTCGTTTGGATTTGCTGTTGTATGCTTTCCGTAAATTCTGGCCCGTCCAGCCTGACCTCTTCCATTTCATATGTGCAGCGTCGTCTCCAAAGCGCCCATAGTGGACTGGTTATTTCTAGATAAATGCCTGGAAAGACTCAACTTTGGACCCGACTTTAGACGATGGGTGCAGATTCTTCATAGGAACGCAACAACTAGGGTTATGGTCAACGGTAAGAAAGCAACCGGGGAATGAATGACACAGACCTCAGACGAGCGGTGGGGGCGCAGCGCTACCGGGAGTGCTGCGCCCCGGCACCAACCGCGGCGCGGAGTGAGGCGGTGAAGCGGGAGGGTGCCTGGTTCGCACCGCTTTCGCTTTGAAGTGTCCATACGAACGAACTAAGGCATGGCGATGGCGTGATGGAGACGCTGGTGGGGTTAGGAGTTGCTGGACAGGGTGTCGAGCTTACAGCGGCTACTTATTAAGCGTTTTGTGCACGCGCGGGGAGCAAAGGTGCTGGTCTACACCGTATCACAGGTTGATAGGGAGACTAGACTGACTCCCGGGGGCTTCCTGGGAGTTCCGCGTCCATACTCCATTGCTGCTGCGTTTCTGCCCGTGGCATAGAGCCTGTGAGGTGTCGCCTCTGGTGATGTCTGTGGAGTTCGGCGGAGAGAGCCTTGGGCAACCCGAAGTGCGAGTGAAGTAACTGCCCGTCATCACCAGTGTCCTCGTTCATCGCCATCATCATTTTTTCATGATCATTACGTCGCCGCTATCATCATCATCATCATCATCATCATCATCATCATCATCATCATCTGCATCTGCATCTGCATCATCAACATCATCATCAGGGTGCGGCTCATCATCACCATCATCAGGGCGCTGGGCGTCATCATCATCAGAGCACTGGGCGCTGTTCGTCATCGAGCTGATGCTCGTCATCATCATCATCAAGGTTGGTCAGTATCATCACCAGCAGCAGCACTGACGTCTCGTGTGCGTGGTCGTCGTCGTCGTCATCATCATTATCATCATCATCATCATCATCATCATCATTATCATCTTCAAAATCAATATCATCATCATCATTATCATCATCAGCAGCATTACCGTCGTGATCATCATCATCAGGGTGTTGGGCGTCATCATCATCAGGGCACGGGGCGCTGTTCGTCATCAAGCTGAGTTTCATCATCAACAGCATCAAGGGGGTGATTCGTCGTCACTATCATCCTTTGGTGATTGCTCATCATCATCATCATCGTCATCATCATCATCAGGGAGCGGTTTGTCACCGCCATCATCATCATCATCCCGTAAATGGGTCGCCATCATCATCAGGGCGTTGGGCGTCATCATCACCAGAGCGCTGAGCGCATCATCATCAAGGTTTGTCGGGATCATCATCAGTAGGGTGCTGCTCGTCGTCATCATCACCAGCAGCAGCACCAACGTCATCAACAGGAGGTGATTTATCATCACCATCATCCTTTCGTGATCACAGGGCGATGTGCGTCGTCGTCGTCATCATCATCATCATCATCATCATCATCATCATCATCATCTTCAAAATCAGTATCATCACCATCATCATCATCGTCATCATCATCATCACCAATACCGTCGTTATAGTCAGTATCATCGACATCATTATCATCATCATCAACAGCAGCAGTAGCATCAGCATCATCAATGCGTAAGCATAGCGTGTTGTGGGTTTTGTTCTTCAACATGACCAGTGTCAACATTCTGCCGCTATTACCATCATCATCATTTTGTCACCCTTAGATATTGCGGTTCAAGGCCTGGTTTGCCTCTCACATCAGTACGTGAGTTTGGTCGCCATCACCAGTATCAGCATCTTTAGGATACTGTTTATCGCCATCTGAAAATCCAAAAAAAAAAAATACAGCACGCGCTGGAAAACTGCACGCAGCAAGGAAAATGGCGCGCGCGCGCTCGACGATTGCGCGCGATTGGGCGCGTGCCCTGACCTGAAAATTGGACCACCGGTGGTCTATGTCGAGGAGCTGAGGTGGTCCAAATTTCAGATCAAATGGTCTAGTGGATCATGAAATATCGAACATTCAGGGTGCCCCATGAAATTCGAGTACGTCGGGCGAGGTATAGTGATTTTCACCATCTGTAGTATCACGATCATCAGCACTATTATCCTCATAGCTATCATCTGTTGTATCACGATCATCAACACTATCATCCTCACAGCTACCATCTGTAGGCGATGTTGATCGCCACCACTATCTTTAGGCTACCGATTCACTCAAATAGTCATCTATAACATTTCGATCATTATCACTACCATCATCAATATTAATATCAATCTGAAAACCTTTTAATCTCAGGGTACCGTTTTCAGCTACCTAATTATCCAATAGTCATAAATATTTACATCCTGATTAGCTATATCTTGATTACCTACATCTAGATTACCTATATCTTGATCACCTATATCCTGACTACCTATATCTCGATCACCTATTTCTTGATTACTTACTTCTTCATTACGACTATTTGTAGCAGAAATTTCAGACATAACGCTTTCATGTTGGGATTGTTTAGCAATTTCGCCACTGGGTTTTGCCCTGCATGTTCCCCCTTCGTTTCGCTTTTTTCATGAGTTTTTGCAGACGCTGTAGTGGGGATAGGACTTCGGAGGTTATGGCTGGAACTTTGGTAGGCAGGGGTTTTTTGAGACCCCAGGGTACAGATATACGGTAGTTACCCACAACAGGTCTGAGATCCACCTGGCCTAAGTTAGGGGATAAGCCAGGGAAAGGACGGTAGGACTGTCAGCCTGGGCTCCGCCTGGCCTTGGGTAAGCTAGGGGAAGGAGAGATAGGGCTGGCCAGTTGTGGGTATAGACTACTAGTTAGTTGTCCCCGAAAAATTAACCCTGGGGTCTGTTATAGGGGAGCCTTATTCTACAGGGGTGTCGCATGATGGGAGGCAGTAGCCCTATTGGGAGTAGGGCAGATTGGGGATTGTCTGAGTTTGGGGCCGGGGTTGGAGAGTTGGTCGCCTTCAACCCCAGCGGGGGCAGATAGGGGAAAGGGGTGGGTAAAAGCAGCCTCTAGGAGGGGATTGGTTGTCGTTGCGGAGGTGGTGGTGAGAGGGGAGGGGATCTGTTTTATGTTGGGGCCGAGGGATTTTCCTCGGTGGAGGCAGCATGAGACAAGGTATAGTGGGTAGGGATTGTTTTGAGCTGTGACCAATGGAAGCGTATCCTTTCTACGGCGTCGTCAAAAAAGATCTGATGACAT